AGGGGGAGAGTACTCAGGTGCAGGGACTCTGACACCAATGCCCTGCTCGCAGGTTGCCCTGGAGGCCCCTGGCCAGGCCTGAGCCTCTGCCACCATGGCCATTGTGCACACTCTGCCAGTGCCACTGGAGCCCGCACGTGAGACAGCCACTGCCCCACAAGCTCCAGCAATGGGTAGCGTGAGCAGTCTTATCTCAGGCCGGCCCTGTCCCGGGGGATCTGCTCCTCCACGCCACCATGGTGTCCCTGGGCCCACCTTCTTCCGCCAGCAGGATGGGCTGCTACGGGGTGGCTACGAGGCTCAGGAACCACTCTGCCCAGCTGTGCCACCCAGGAAGGCTGTCCAAGGCACCAGCTTTACCTATATCAATGAGGACTTCCGGACAGAGTCACCTCCCAGCCCAAGCAGTGATGTTGAAGATCCCCGAGAGCAGCGGGCAAACAATGCCCACCTCCGTGGGCCTCCACCAAAGCTCATCCCAGTCTCTGGAAAGCTGGAGAAGGTAAGGGCCAGCCCTCTTGGGAGGATCTGGGTGGAATCAGGAGCCCCTTAGGGAAGCTAGAATTTGGAAGCATATATAGAGCAAAGAATGTGGGCTGTCTCAGCTCTCTTTCTGACTCAGGAAATATCTCCCTGTCCGAGTCCCATTTCTGTGTCTGTATAGTTAAGGTTATAGGATAATTTTTGTAGGCTCCTGTTAGAATTAGTACTTAGCATAGTACCCAACACCTTCAAGCAAATGATATTAGTTGCTTCGATTATTTATCTACATAGCCCTGCTATGCTGGAACTTACTATGTAGACCAGGCTGGCCTCCAGAGATCTGCCTGCTTCTGCCTCCTGAGTGCCAGGATTAAAGGCATTCAGCACCACATCCAGCCTAGTTGCTTCAACTATTTTTACACAAATAGAAGTGTAAAAAAAAGTCGAGTGTCTTTGGGCAGAGCCTTTAACTTTAGCCGACCTCTATTTCCTCAGTATTTTGCTTGCATGGCTATTGTAATGATTAAAAAAGAGCATTTTGAATTACTTAACATAAGTGGACATTTAAGAGGTCTGTTGTTAGTGGGAATAATTGTTTTTAATTTATAGGGGTTGAGGGCCCTGTGTGGGAAGGGTAGAAAGTCTGACAGGGTTTTGAAAGATCAAGGTTTGGGGCTTAAAGAGATGAGGAGATGGCTCAGTGGTGACGTGCTTGTTGTCCTAGCATAAGGCCCTGAGTTCAGAGCCCCAGCACCCACGTATAGAGCTGGACATGATGTCTCAGGACTGTGAGGCAGAGATTCGCAGACCCTGGGACTTGCTGGCCAGTCAGTCTAGCTGAATTGGTGAGCTCCAGGGTCAGCCAGAGACTTATCAAAAATTGGGGAAAGCAGCCAAGGCAGGCTGCTGACTTTCACATCTGGCCTCCATACACAGGCACCAGTGTGTGCGCGCACACACATGGATTAGCATTTTGAAAGATCAAGCAAGCAAGCTGGGCTTGGTATCTCACACCTGTAATCCCACTCTTTAACAGGCAGAAGCCTTGCTTGTATTCAGGGCTAGCCCTGGGGATACATAGTGAGTTCTAGGCTAGTAGAATAAAACCCTGCCTCAAACCACTAACAAAAATAAAAAAAATTTAAAAGGGTTGGAGAGATGGCTCAGAGGTTAAGAGCCACTGCCAGAGGTCCTGAGTTCAATTCCAAGCAACCACAGCCATCTATAATGAGATATGGTACCCTCTTCTGGCACACAGACAGGACACTGTATACATAAATAAATCTTAAAAAAAAAAAAAAAAAGAAAAGAAAGTGATCGTGCAGATTATCCTCACGTGTCACGTGGTCCCTCATTTCAGAACATGGAGAAAATCCTGATCCGGCCAACAGCCTTCAAGCCGGTGCTACCCAAACCTCGGGGGGCACCATCCCTACCTGGCTTCCTGGGTCCTCGAGCTGCTGGGCTGTCTGGGAGTCAGGGCAGCCTGACACAGCTGTTTGGGGGGCCAGCCTCCTCCTCCTCTTCCTCTTCCTCCTCTGCTGCTGACAAGCCCTTGGCACTGAGTGGCTGGGCCAGTGGCTGCCCATCCGGGACACCGTCAGATTCTGGTCGCAATTCTTTATCCAGCTTGCCCACCTACAGCACCGGAGGTGCTGAGCCCACCACCAACTCCCCAGGTGGGCACCTGCCTTCCCACGGCCCCAGCCGAGGGTCACTGCCTGGTCCAGCCCGAGGTGTCCCTACTGGGCCCTCCCACTCGGACAGTGGACGATCCTCCTCCAGCAAAAGTACGGGTTCCTTGGGGGGCCGTGTAGCTGGGGGTCTCTTGGGCAGTGGTGCCCGGGCCTCCCCTGGCAGCAGTTCCGGTGGAGACCGCTCTCCGCCCCCTCCGCCCCCTCCACCCCCTTCGGATGAGGCCTTGCTACACTGTGTCCTGGAAGGGAAGCTTCGAGACCGAGAGGCAGAGCTGCAGCAGCTACGGGACAGTATGGAAGAGAGTGAGGCTACCGTGTGTCAGGTGCGGCCCAAGGCAGTCCTGGGGTGGTGCGGTGGAGCATCCAGAGGCCTAGGGACAACTCTTGAAGCATTGCTGTTGGGGCGGGAGAGGATGAAGACCTTGTGTGATACCCCCAAGGCTTTTAGCTTAACCTCCGAAGGAGTAAGGAGACAGGGTTTGTGAATTGGATCCAGCACTGGCTTGGAGCGTCTGTTAGACTTGAGCAAGTTTCTTAATCTCACCAAACCCCAGTTTTCCAGTCTATATGGGGATAGTTCTGACTCCCTAGGGGGATTATGAGTATTAAATAAGGCAAAAGGTGTAAAGTGCTTAGAACAATGCCTCACACCTAGGAAGGGTTGTATTAGTGCTTGCTTTTACTGTTGTTGCTGGATTTGGACTTGTGTGCTCTTCCCTCCTTCGGCCCAGGCAGGGAGTCACCCAAGCACGAGAGGCTAGAGCTCAGGGTCCGAGGCACCTGAAGGTTTCTAGCCTGCCTTCTTTCTCTAGGCGTTTGGAGCGCGGCAGAGGCACTGGCCACGGGAGCGGGAGGACTGTGCAGCCCAGGCGCAGCAGGCCACACAGCGTGTCCAGCGGGCCCAACAGCTGCTGCAGCTGCAGGTGTTCCAGCTGCAGCAAGAGAAGCGCCAGTTGCAGGATGACTTCGCACAGCTGCTGCAGGAGCGAGAGCAGCTGGAGCGCCGCTGCGCTACCTTTGAGCGGGAGCAGCGGGAACTCGGGCCCCGACTGGAGGAGACCAAATGGGAGGTACGCAAGATTAGGTGCTGGGCAGGCTGGAGGGGGCCACACTCTGTGACCCCAGGTAGCTAGCTACCCTAGAGGGTCTGCCCCTCCTCATCCTTCTGGGTTGGGATTTTCCTGTGCCTCCATGTTGGACCTCACGGGTCTGACCTGGTGCCCACAGAGCTAAGTGGCATTGCCTTCTCTATTAGGTTGGTACTGTCAATACCTCCATGTATGAGGAAACCTGAGCCAGAAAGGGCTGGAGCCTAGAGTTAAACTAGCAGGAGCTGGGATGAGATACAAACCCAGGGAGCTGGTTTTTAATGCCTGTTCTTGCCCAAGATGCCGTTCACCTGTCCATGTGGCTCTTGCCCTTGACTTCCCCACTCCACTCCTTCAGTACCCTCCATCCTCTCCCAGCCTAGGCAGTGCCTAGGTGTCAGGATACCAGCATCGGAGAAAGAAGGTCTGGGTTTCTTCTCTCCTTACGCCTCTTACTGGAGTGTAACTATGAATGTGTCACTAGGCTCGCATCCTGCTGTGCCTCTGTGTAAAACAGGGAGATAGCATCTCCTCTCCTCGAATGCCCAGCGTGGTACCCAGTGCTCAATATCCAGAGAGGCCTTACCGTCCTTCACTACGTTTTACCCACAGGTGTGTCAGAAATCCGGTGAGATCTCCCTGCTGAAGCAGCAACTGAAAGAATCTCAGGCGGAGCTGGTACAGAAGGGCAGCGAGCTGGTGGCGCTGCGGGTGGCCCTTCGAGAGGCCCGGGCTGCCTTGCGCGTCAGTGAGGGTCGCGCCAGGGGCCTGCAGGAGGCAGCCCGAGCTCGGGAGCTCGAGCTGGAGGCCTGCTCCCAGGAGCTACAGCGGTACCGCCAGGAGGCTGAGCGGCTCCGGGAGAAGGCTGGGCACTTGGATGCTGAGGCAGCTGGACTCCGGGAACCCCCTATACCCTCCGTGCCCCCGGCCACCACTGACCCTTTCCTCCTGGCAGAGAGTGATGAGGTTAAGGTGCAGCGGGCAGCAGCTGGGGCAGGGGGGAGCCTGCGGGCTCAGGTGGAACGGCTGCGCCAAGAGCTACAGCGCGAACAGCGGCGAGGAGACGAGCAGCGCGACAGCTTTGAGGGGGAGCGGCTGGCCTGGCAGGCGGAGAAGGAGCAGGTGATCCGCTACCAGAAGCAGCTGCAACACAACTACATCCAGATGTACCGGCGAAACCGGCAGCTGGAGCAGGAACTGCAGCAGCTCAGCCTGGAGCTGGAGGCCCGTGAGCTTGCTGACTTGGGCCTGGCTGAGCCAGCCCCCTGCATCTGTCTGGAGGAGATCACTGCCACTGAAATCTAGAGCTTTTCAAGGGGCACGAGCCACAGGACCACCGGGGTCCCAGGATCTACCGATCACTCCAGGTCCCAGAGCCAAAGGGCCTCTGCCAAGCATTCGGGTGGCCTTGTGACTTGGAGTTCTGTTTCGCTGTCACCCAGAGGCTCCTACCTACGCCACCATTTCACTCCCCAGCTGTCAGTGCCACTGCCAGCCCTGTTTGCCCACAGATGTTTGCCAGCCCACCCCAGCTGGGAAGAGAAAGGGGCTACCCCATCTCCACTTTCTACCTGCCTGAAGCCAGAGAGAGCCAGATGGCACCAGCTGCTCCAGATGTGCCTGCCCCCAACATGCCCAGGAGGAGGGGCAGGGCTAGGACTGGGGTCTGATCCCCATGCCCAGCTCTGCAAGCCCCTTCTGGGCTGAGGGGGCTGAAGTCAGACCAAAGGAAGAACTCAGCAATGTCTTGTTTATTTGTGTTTGTGACCAAGCAGCCCCTCCTATTACCAGGTTTATGGCTTCGTTTTCACTTGTATATTTTTCACATGTAAATTTCTTGTACAAACCCAAAGAAAACATTTAAAAAATTTTGTTTTTAAAAAAAAAGTATGCTGGATAAAGAACCATAGGGAACTTGTTTGACATCTGTCTGGGACATCTGTCCCCTCTGCTTGCTGGCTACTGTTCGACCTCATGAAGTTCTTACAGGGAGGAAGGGTAGTAGAGCTAACCCAGTGGAGTCAGAGGTCCTCGTGGCCCACAATGTGAGTCTTAGCCAGGTTTGACGAGTTAGAAAAGCTTTCCATCCTGTTCTTTGCACTGAATGCTGCTTGAGACAGGGGTATGGATGCAGTGACCTCCTTGAGGACCCTCAGAGTTTAAGCCCCTCAGAATATGGGAAGCCAGAGGCATCATAAAACCTCACAACTTCAGACTTGAGTTTCTCTGTCCCCTCACTGTGAAGCGGTCCAGGATCAGGGAATGCAAATGACACAGTTGCCCACTAGAACCTTGTCCTTGGACATCTATCTCCAAAGGCCAGAGCCTTTCTGATAGCCCGCAGTGGATCGGAGCCACAAGTGTGCTCTCAGCAGGCAGGCAGATAGGACAAAGGGGCCTCGGTATTGCAGAAAACCTGGAGGCAGCAGTAATTCTTAGGGTCAGTGGGAAGGGTCATGGGAACCCTTAAGAGGGGAGAGTTTGGAGGTACTGTGAGGAGCCTGAAGGGCTGGGCTGGGAGTCTGCTGTAGTTTGCCCAGCCTCAGGGGGTGGCAGCTGGTGGTGGGCTGGGGTATTATCAAGGGGTCCGTGGGCAGAGGAACCGTCAGCGGGAAGGCTCTGATCCTTAAAGGCCAATGAAGCAGAGGATAAGGGCAGCAGGCCAGGCCCAGGGACCCTGACCACAAGCTCCATAGGCTCCCGAGCCTTGTTTCTATATGCTCTGCGGATGGTGTCCACGGCTCGTTGGTGGGTCACCTGCTCCAGGCTCTCCCCGTCCACTGCCACCAGCTCGAAGCCAGCCTGGTGTGGAAATGGAAGAGTCAGCCTCCCATCATTCCCTCCCACCCACCACCCAACCTGAAGGCAGTAGCCTTTCACCCCTACCAGCTAGGACACTCCTCTCCCTCTGGGTGCTGGGGATGGACAATAGAACTTTTGTGTCTGGAGCCGTTGGGGGCAGGGTGGGGCACAGACAATGGCCCTTTGTCCCTTGGGACTTGAGGTGGAACACGATGGGCCATTCTCAGGCCCAGGCTAGCATGAGGGGACGGAGTCTTCTCTAGGCCTGCCCATCCTACTGGCCTGACCCCTTTGCCCCCAAGCCAACTCCTACGACCTGGTCTGAACATGCTTGGCTGGAAGACGAGAACAACCCTGTACCCTTCAGTCTGGGCCTAGGGAGGTTTCGCGCTGCACCCACCTGCAGGGCCCCGCAGAGGAAAGCCGCACCTCCCGGGAAGATCTTCTCTATCTTCACCATGGGCTGCACCTTGGACTCGATACCCCCAGAGATGCTGATGCCTGGGGAGGGTCCAGAGCACAGAGTGACAGCCTTAACCCCAAACTTTGAGCTCCCGGGAAGAGCAGGGAATCCCATCCTCCAAATCAGCCTTGACTTCTTCCCGCCTCTGGGCTCTGTCTCAAGTCTCAACCTCCAAACCTAGATTCCCCAGCTACATACCTTAGTGCTCAGATTTCTTTCATGCCTCCCACCCCACCCCACCCCGCAGCTTCCTTCATACCCACCCTGCTTACCCGGTGCTACCCGGACTCACCCAAAGACTGCTTCATCTTAGATAGCGTGACTGTCCTCAGCTCTCCAGTGGAGGCTTTCTTGGTCGTCTCCTCAGCCATCCCATTAACTCCATTCTCCAAGGGCCCTGGCCTAGCTTCCACTTTGACCTCCTGCCCGTCCAGAGGTCGTGGAAGCAAGGGCCTTGCCTTCCGAGGCCTGTGGTATCGCCCGTTGGCTGTGGTAGCAGTGGTGATGGGTCCTGGGGGTGGGGAGCTCCTGCGCCCAGGGGACTTGCCTCGACCTCGGCTGCGGCTGCGACTGCGGCTTTGGGCTGGGGTCTGGCTCTGGTTCTGCTGAGCCTCCTCCTCTTTGCTTGGGGGTTCTGTCAGTAACCAGTTAGGCCTGGGAGGCCGGGGAGCCACAGGAGGCGGCTGGGGAGGGGGTGTACATGCGCTGCGGCGAGGAGAGAAGGCATCGACTGGTACATCTTGTAGAGGGGGGATTCCTTTATGGTGGTGGCGAGGGGCAGAGGCACTGAGGGAGACCTTAAGGCCCCCCAGCCTCTCCCGGATCTCACCATGGTCGTCTTCTGAGCAGTCATTCACTGGCAGCAAGTAGAAGCCTCCACGGCTATCTGGGGAACAGAGTCAAGGTTAACTTGCTCTTCTTAACTATCAGTTCCAAGATACCTTCCCAGACCCTGGTCCTCCTTTCTGCTGTTTGTAGGCTTCCAAAGTGTGTGTCAACAAGGCCTGGATTTGCTCAGGACCATTGTAAAGTGTCCCATGATACACGACACTACTCTCTGGGGGCAGGTGGACAGATGTGACCTATTGCTAATAGTGTCCTAGCACGTTGTATTGTAATACACTTTAGCATAACCAAGAAACCTGCTTTAAAAGTGTGTGATCTTCAAATGCCCTGGATAGGAGTGGACACCACGAGGATGACCTGGAGGAAGCACTTTCCCTCCTACTCCGTGATACAGCTCGGAGGCAAGGATGGAAGGCCTGCTCTCCCTGTTCCAATGTCCCCAGGGTTGTCCCTTTCCCCCAGGTTATGGGACTCTGACTGACCAGGCACAGGTGTGATGAGGTGACGCTTGGGTGGCGTGTCTTGCCTGGTTGGTCTCAAAGCAGAAGGCCGAACTGGTTGGAGGGGACAACAGGTCAGAGGCCAGGCACTCCTGCCAGGCTCCGGGATGGGCATGCCAATGGGCTCAGCAGCAAAAGCCGCCCCTCCCCCCAGCCCCGACTGGGACTCAGAAGTCGGAAGTCCTGCCCCGGCTGCTGACCTGCCCTGCTCTTGAGAGCCTCAAAAGCCTCCAACTCCACAGGCATCACCATGCTATCAAAGCGGCCGAGGTCCGTGGGGGCCACCACACTCCTGAGGAAGGCAGGGATGCGGGGTAAGCAGGGCTCGATTCTGGAGGTGCGGGCATGGAGGAGCTTCAGCCCTAGGGTCACTGGGGCTTCTTGCCCCGCCCCTTCTCTCAAGCCCCACCCAACCTGATGTCCCTCAGCAGCAGCAGCTTCTCCGGTCTGTCCAGGATGGCCAGCAGGGGGCGCACCAGGTCCTCCACACCACCCTCATGGACATACTGTGTATTGAAAAAAACACCACGGCTTAGATAGCAGCAGCAACTACAGAGCTGAATGCAGGGAAACATCAGGGTGCACGGGGATCCCGGGACCCATCTAGCCATCCTCACTCTAAGATAGATTCACCCTATCCAAGGTCCACTAGATGACTTTGTGGATTCCTGTGACAAATAGCAACAGCAATCATGGCGTCTGGACAGGCAACTTTCTAAATCTTTTACATACAGTCTCTTATTTAGTGTCCACCCTGAGATGATTGCTGTTTTACAGAGGGAGGAACTGAGACTCAGAGAATTTGCTCAAAGCCATGCAGATAAGGAAATAGAAGGAAAGGCTGGAACCCAAGACATCCAGATCTTGCTTGCTCTGGTGCGGGAAAATAATGTGTAGTGAATAGACTCTCCCTCTACCCCCTCACCCAGGCAGAAGGAGTGGAAACCCAACACTAGGCTGTGGTTTTGGCTCTCCACCCTTTGTTTGGAGCTGGAATGGTGATCTTGGGGAACGGGTGGCTCTACAAAAAGCCTCTCTAGTCAATAACCTTCTGCCTGGCACCGCCTGGATGCCACCAGCCCGGATGCCACACCCCATGGATTCTAGAAAATTGAATACTGGGAGCCAAGTTACTTGGGCAGCACACTGCCCCCTGGTGGTGAAAGGGAGACAGCTCTAGAGAGACCCACGGATAGTTACCTCGTATGGGCATAGACACAGAAATAGCAGAAGCTGCGGTCATCTGAGTGAGTCATCAATAAATATTTAGGGATAAATAAAAAAGTGTGTGTGTGTCTACACACACGGTTACAGGGACTCAACAATATGCTGCCACGTACGTGCCTGTCCCTCAAGGCCACAAGCATGAATTCAGCGTCTACTGTTAGACCCCAGGTGGCAAAAGAAGTACAAGACCCTCTCCCAGAACCTCCGAGACTCAAGTGGCCACAAGGGACAGATGAGCCTCATTCAGCAGTAACTGTAAACCACTGCCGTGGGGCACTGAGAGTTTCAGAGAAGGGTGAAGGGTCAGAATGAGCCTCTCGGAAGCAGTGACTCTTCCAGACTAGATGCCCCGAGCAACGTGGAAGTTGGAGAGGAGAGTGTACTAAGGATGCAGAATAATGAGTAAACAGAAGTTGATTATGATGTCAAGGGCCCACAAAGACCTTCCTATAGGGCTGCCCGGATTGAGATCTATGTCAGTAGCACCCTCTAAAACTATGCAGCTTATAATTTATATCAGCTGTGTGGTGACCCAGGAACGCTGGGGGTAGGGGTTGGGGTGTCACACTGTGGAAGTCCTAGAAGGTGGGAGAGAATAATTTGTGCTCAATTCTGCCTCATAAGGGAACTGTAAAGCAGTAAGAGGTAGCTTGTAATTCCGGGCCTGGCGAATGCGGAAGGAGGGCTCAGACAGGAGACCGGAAGCCAGGTTCAGACAGTACATGGTAGTCACCGGGGAATGTTGCCTACCTCTCAGCCCTGAGAGCTCCATTTCAGAAGGTTTAGGGTGGGGGCATTAGTGTGGGTGTGGATCGTATGTAGAGCCCACAGGGTAAATAGAGTCATGGTGAAATGAAGTCCTGGTTTGAAGAGGGTTGGAGGAATGGAGGAATAAGGAAAAGTGCTGGGCCCCTCCTAGTGGCCAGAGTTCAGCATTGCATGCTCTCACGAAACCCACTTAAGGTTCAGAACTGAGAGTGGATTTAGCCCAGAGCCCTTGCCAGGAACCTCCATTGGCATTTCTGTTGTAAACCAGGCCTTAGTAATGTGTGAGCAACCCCACGTAGGCTTCAAGCGATACTACGTGGGCACATGCATACATACATGTTAGGCACAAACAAATGCATGCAGGCAGACCAACACACACTAGCTACCCCATAGCAATGCCAATGTACACATCACAATACACATACAGCTCCGAAATGGTTGGAGAGAAAGGAAACAAGAGTGTAGGTGTTGGGGGAGGGTTGTGGCCGAAGGCCACACCTGCTGGCTGTCCCAGGAGCAGAAGGGGAGATGGGGGACAAGACTGAGCGTGAGAGAGGACACAGCCAGTTTCCTGCAGTTTTCTCCCCTCCTACTATCTTCCCATGACATCCCCTGTCCTCCTCATCTCCTCAGAGATGTCACCTCCTCCGAGAGGCCTTCCTAGATCTCCTGGGTTACCCGGGGCTGTCCTCCACAGTGCTCTGTATGATTGGTCACTACGGGGATTTAGATTCTAATTAATGTCTGTCTTTTCTTCCTGCCTGGGAGCTCCCAGCAACAAGGCCAGGGGCTGGTCAGTGGACAGTGGCCTGGAATGAGGGACTGAGTTCTGGGCAGAGACTTACCCGGGAGCAGTGGCGAGTGACTGCTAGGACTTCATCATCCGTCAGCAGCCGCCGGGCCAGGTCCTGAATGAGGGGCCGTCGACTTTCCCAGGCCTGCACCTGCTCGTCCACATTGGGCAGCTGGCCAGAGGGGCTTCCAGACCTGGCAGAGAGCAGGGCCCGGCCCTTCTCCCGATCTATAGGGTAGGAGTACGAGGTTGTTAACCAGGATGACAGAGCTGTTAGGGTAAGGCAGAGTTTCTCTTGGCAGGGGTGAGGCACCCTGGACAGAATTCCACCGTGCCCTGCTCCCCAACATGGCCTTTCCTATCAAACTGCCATCAGTAGAGACCAAGCTCCAACGCCTCCTTCACTGCCATGCCCATCTGTCCCGCCCCTGAAGTACAGACAGGCTCCCTCACCCCCAAATCCTTTTGAGAGGGTTCCATCTTTGCCCCCTATCTTTTCTAGTAAGCCAACCAAGTCTGACTCCACAGGCTGAGCTTTAAATGAGTTTAGTTCAGAGCCGATAAGTTGGTCCTAGCTTGCATCCCCATCTGCTACTTTACCATGGGGACCTTGGGATATTGGATTTACCACGTCTCAGTCTCCAGGTGACAAACTTCTGCACAGGCCCCACGCTCCCTGCTGTAAAGAAGAAAAAGGTTCAGTTCAACTAGAACAAGAGTTTCCATTAGAAGTCGTCAGGGTGGGGACAAGTGCTTCTGTGGGCCTTGTGGGTCGTGCCCAGTTAGGGACTTCATTCATAGGCAATGGGGGTGGGGCTTAGTGAAGATTGTGGAGTAGAGGAGGAGGTGGTGTGAACACTCCTTGTGGAGAGTTGTTTGGAAATGGATGAAGAACCCCAAGGACAGAACTCGGTGGTACCTACCTTCCAGAGAAGACAGAGTGGGAAGGAGGAGCCTTGGAAACAGAGAGAGGATGGGCCAGAAAGGGCCGAGAACCATGAGGAAACAACAGCCTGGGAACTGAGAGAAGACAGAGATGAGGAAAGGGGCTGGCTCAGCCTTGACTTGGAGAAGTGTCTCCTCTCCTGGACTGTCACCCTGAGGCCTCTGGACACTCCATTCTAAGGTGGAGGAGCAGCGTCCACCTTCTCATTCTCTGCTTGCTTCTAACTACCCAATGTTCACTCCTGCTTCTGGAAGCAGCACCCTGCTTATCTCCTGGGTAAACCCCTCCGATCTCAGCCCATGCATTCTGGTTAGGCACATGGCCCAGGCTGAGCAGCAAAATCACCTGTCTCCCAGGTCCGGGAGCTCCTGTCTTGTTTTTCTGCTTACACCACAGTGGTTTTCTCAGCATGACAGATGACATCAGGAGGCAGTGAAAACCCTGACTGACCCCTTTTGCTGGAACTGTTGGAATATTTTCCGGTTGGCTAGGTATAATGGCACATGCCTTTAATCCCAGCACTTGGGAGGCAGAGACAGGTGGGTCTCTGTGAGTTTGAGGCCAGCCTGGTCTACAGAGTGAGTTCTAGGACATACAGAGAAACCCTGTCTTAAAACAAAACAAAACAAAACAAAAAAACCCAAAAAACCCATAAGCCCAAGTAACAAAACTCCCGGTCCCCAGGGTTGCTAAGGGACAGTGGCCATCTCACCTTCAAGTTGGCAAAGCCTTCTAAGGTGGAGGCACATGCCTGAGGGAGATTGCTGGTATTGTTCCTTCAGACGGGCTACTGTCAGTAGCGGAACCTAGAGGTCCTCTTTAAAGCTGGCAGGACTTGAGTTTCTGTCCCAAGCAATTGTGAGTTTTATTTCATCCATATCGGGTCTGGTCTGTGAGCCTCAACAGGATTGACTGGCTTCTTGTGAAGGTCCTTAAACAAACCCTACCTGAGGCTGGGGCTGGAACCCAATAGCAGAGCACTTGCCTAGCATGACTGGGGCCCAAAGATTCGATCATCACGACTCATGGGGTGGGGATTTATGGGGTGGGGACAGTGTCTCGGCCTGAGTCCCTTCCATCTGAGCCCTGACTGAGACGTGGCTTTCCTCAGGGATTGTTCTAGAACTGGGTTGGGCCTGTGGAGCTCTGGAAGGGGGTGCGAAGCCAGGGGCCCTAGCAAAGGTGCCTTCCGTTGCCAACACCACGAAAAGCACATGACTCCATACTGAGTTCAGTCACTTCTTGCTGTGCCTCGAGTCTGTCACTTCATCTTTCTGAAAAGATGGAAGATGACGGGATGACAGTGGCCACTCCATTTTGGGAGCACCTCCTAGGAGCTAGACAAAGTACTGGCTTACATTCATTCATTATCTGATGTTCTGTATGTCCAAAGAAATGCGTTTTGATCCTTCCATTTTACTTGGGAGGGTGAGTGGCAGAGTAGGGTGGGATTTCAGCCTGGAGCTGCCAGATGGAGTCCAGCACCTACCTTTCTCTAGGTCCAGGCGGGGGCGGACTTTGGCGGGGCTTCTGCTGTCCAGTGTCCAGGCCTCTCTGTGCCCGTCCCCTGCTGGCCGCCCCTGCCGCCCTCCCTTGAAGAAGAGGTTCATCAATGTCTTGGAGCGCTGCAAGGCCCCCTTCTCCCCAGGGGACCCTGACTTCTCCTTCTTCCGCTGTTTCTTCTCCTCTGTAGATATGAGGGAGCCCCCGGGGGGGGCTGGAGGGTGGGCAGAAGAGAAGGAGGGCGCAGGGGGATAGAAAAGGGCAGAGAGAGGGAGAGGAGGCAGACGGGATCTGCTGCCATTCCAGAGTGGGGTCTTCTCCCTGCCTTCCTCCTCTCCCCTACCACAGAGCTCCAGGGATGGAGGGAATCTGGCAAGTGTCTGTAACTAAACAGATCTGGGCATCCCAGGCTGGAAAAATTGGAGTTATGGTTGGTTTGGGGCCCAGAGCGTATCAGTTTGGGAGCTGGAACTGAGGATGATTTTGGGGCCCAGACCTGTTTATAAAGTGAAGCCTAGAACAGGACCAGAGAATATTCTTGGTCTGGACCTGGGACCTGGGATTTGGGGCAAAGGCAGCTTTGGGATTTCTTCTTGGTGTTGAGGCAGACTTTGCTGGGACTAGGGACTATGGGAAAGTGGCGCCCTACCAACATACCCCACAGTGTCAGGTGGCTCTGGGACCGTGTGATGGGAGGCCTGGGTCGGCTCAGGGCCAGCAGCAGAGCAGTCTTGGGTGACTCCGAAAGTGCAGAATCAAGGCGTCGGGTAGAAGAGGGACCATCAGAGCGGATGGCCGTGTCCCTGAGGATGACGGTTGGCCGGACACTGCACCAAGTTTCCACATGGCTGCCCATATCGGGCTCAGTCTGCATGGCTGTGTCTGCCCGTCCCCAGCCTGGGCCACAGCCACTGAGCTCCTCGGGCTCCAGACAGACATCCATGCGGTCAGAGGGCAGTGAGCCTGAGCTGCAGGGGGCACTGGAGGCATAGGAGGAGACGCTGGAACCACTCTCAGAGGCTGGAGACAGCTGCTGCAGTACCCCGTTGCTCACTGCAAGGGAGAGGAAGCGAGGTCACTCAGGTAGCACATGCTACCCTTGACTTTGGGGTGGGTCAGAGATGCCAGCTGCTCAGATTGCCATTTACGTCGGGGGGCCCTGGAAAAGTCACTTCTTTCCTCACTCACGGGGACCCCCTGGGAGACTTTAGCATTGAGTTTGGGGATCCTCTGGGCTTCAAGAAGGTCTTGAGGGCATCTTGGTCCTCCCCCCCACACACAAGAGCTCAGCCCCACCCTTGGGCTCCTCCCTTTCATCTCTCAGCACTTACATCTGTCCAACCAGCAGTACTCAGAAACCATCTCTTTGTAGGCAGGGTACCGGCCGGTCTCCTGGAGAAGACAAGCATTGAAGGGGCAGGTGAGGAGTCAGGAGGAATGGGTGGGCAGCGGAGTGAGCTTGGCAGCGCCATTCCCCTCCACTGGGCCCACCAGGCTTTGCTTTCTAAGCCAATTTCCTTTGTAGCTCAGGCCTTTGCTCTTGTTCTTCACTTTGCTGCTCCCTATGCCAATCACAGGGCTGGCTTTGTTCTTCTTTGACTGTCACTGCCTTGGTGACTGTCCCCTTGCTTTGATTACAAGGCCCTTCCTCAATTATCCCACTCCCCTTCTGCTAATTTCCTGACAGCATTTGCCAGCATCTGATGGTCACTGTCCCCCAGGCGCAGAGAAGCCTTGTTGGTCTATCCTGCTCTCTGTGCCGCCCAGCACCTGACCTCATAGATGCTCAAAAACACTGTTGAATAGCCAGGCAGGGTGGCTCATACTTGGAATTCTAGTGCTTGGGAACCCAAGAAAGGAGGATAGATCCTCCTTTGTTTGAGGCCAGCTGTGGCTACATAGGAAAACCTAGCCTGGGCTACATAGTGAAATTCTCCAAAACCAAAAACAACACATGCACACGGAGGCACAGCGTTAGCAAATGAACTGGGGGAAGGGCCGGAGTTAGGAAGAATGTTCCAGGTACTTAGAAAAGGGAAGATGGCAGAATAGAGGTCGGGGGCTAATTGATGACGCATTGAATGAAGCTGGGTGACAAGCCGGGGAAAGAGAGGGGGACCGTGGGGGAAGAGTGAGACACCACTCCTGTGCACACAGACAGAGGAAGACCTTAATTAGGTGTGACAGTCACATGAATAATGAAACCAACCACCTCCTAGGAAAGCCAGTCCCTGCTGTAGCCCTGTGCCCAGGGGTCCCCACAACCCAGGCCTTGCACACAGTGATAGCTCCTATCCCATTCATTAGTCCATCATCTTGAGGCCTCCCCCGTGCCGAAGGAGAGAAATCTGGGGAGCCAGACCACAGCCAGGCCAGGCGACTGACCAGCTGTATAACAACCGACTACTGCCTCTTTGGAATTGACATTAGTGGCAGGGAAGGGGTCCTGTTAAGAACTAGGGTGTTCTGAGAAGTTCCAGCCATCGTCTGACCACCCCTGCTCCCACATCATCTGGCCCACCTTGATGGTCAACATTATGTGCGTTTGGCCCTTCAGCACCTCCACGGCCTGGCTGTGGCTGATGTCATCGAACCTGACACCGTTGGCCGCCAGGACCTGGTCCCCCACTTTGATGCCGTTCTCCTCAGCCAGCCCACCATGGTCCACTCTGGAGACAGATGGGTGTGGCTTGATAAGACCCTGACCTGCCTCCCTCCCCCTTGGGTATGGGGGTTCCCACCTACATCCCTTGGGCCTCTGCTGATTGACACCACCCTCTCCCCAAGCCCTATCCTGAAGAGGTCCCCATTTGGACATTAGTTGGCTGAGCCTCATGCATTGACCCATGCCCAAACTCCACTTCCAGCCCACATACCATACCCAGTCCCATACCCAGTGGTTCCATTCTGCCCAACACTCACTTAGACACATAGATGCCCAGACCAAACTCCTTGCCCCCGCGGATGTTGAAGCCTAGGCAGAAGTCATCGGAGGTCGTGTAGAGATGGACGATGCGCCGCACACCGTCTTCTGAGCTGCTGTCTGATGGTGTCGAACTGCACTTCTCCACCACCAGCCGCCGGTTCACTACATCCACCCTGCCACAAGCAACACAGGAAGCTCCATCCCAGGCCCTCCAGGAACATCTAGTCTAAACGCCATGACAACTGACCGGGAAAGGGATGGTTCCCTTGCTGGGCATGGAATATAGGTTTCATCAAACCTATGAAACAATCCAAATCGCACACACCCTTCTCTACCAAGTAACTGCAACATGTAGAGGTTCATGTCCCTTTTCTGTTTTGTTTTTGATGCTGTGGAGGGAGTCCATAGCATGCTTGACTATGCCAAGCATCTCCTTTATCACCATCTCTGCCCTACCCCCAGCCCCAGAGCCCCATTTCTGCTCCTTACAAGTCCCCATGGGGAGATATCCAGAGGAGCGCCTGGCTCAGTACCAGAGAGCAGAGCTGCTGGGCAGGGTCAGGGGAGACATGGGGCAGCAGGGTCTGAGCAAGACCGGGTGCCACTCACCATGTGGTCTTCTCCTTGGAGAACTTGATGCCAGGCACACGGCCCATGCGCCGCACCATCATGTGCAGGCAGCTGCTGCTGGTCAGCAGCCTCACGGCACTGCCCATGGTGGTGCTCTCCAGACTCAGCCCGTTCACCTCCGTGATCTTGTCCCCCACACACAGGCCAGCCCGCTCTACACGGGAGCAGGGAAGGGGAGTCGTCAAAGTGGGCTCCACAAGTCCGTTGACACTAGGCTGTGTCCCCTAATCCACTCAGCGGGAGTGGACTCTACCTCCCATGGTTTCCTATCCTCGGCCGCCCAGCTTCTGCTACCCACTGAAGAGGGGCACATCCCAAACCATGCTCCCCCTAGGGGCCCCCCTGCTCACCTGCACTGCTCCCCTCCTCCACCTTGCTGACAAAGATGCCCAGGCCATGCTCAGAGCCGCCTCTCACGCTGAAACCCAGCCTCCCAGAGGAGCTCTTCTCCACCCGAACTGCATGGATGACGTCGCTCTCGTCACTGTTGGCTGTGAGGATAGCCACACAGGTATGACCTCTATGTTAAATTCTGGCAACTGAGCATCTGGGGTCCCTAACTCAGTGTCTGAAAAGGTTAGGCTTCTGTGCAGAGCCAACCAGATGATTCACAGGGCCCTAAATGCAGATGGTGTCTGGGTAATTCTGAGACCACAGGCCACTCGCTGACAGTGCAGGAACAGGTGAGAACAGCTTGATCAGATTCCATGTTTTCTCTCTCTCTCTCTCTCTCTCTCTCTCTCTCTCTCTGTGTGTGTGTGTGTGTGTGTGTGCGCGCGCGCTTGTGCGTGCATGCGTTTGTGTGTATTTGTGTGATGTTTTCTGAACTTTTATGTCCAATCTCTGAAAATTTGCCATTCTGGGAATAGGCATAAGGAGGGTTCAAGATTCCATTGTGAAGAGACTGGGTTCTGAGTTTGCAGTAGAATGAGCTCCAACTTCAAACAGCTGTGGAGCTGTCCGTAGACGTCCTTAGATGCTCGGAGTAACTTAAGGGCAGAACAAAGCTTGCCCAGGGCCATTAGGCAGGGACAGATTTTCTTTTCTGGGACAGATAGCAAGTAAAGCTTTCCATCTGGAGGCACCAAGGCCGAAACTTGGTAAATCTCTGGCTGGGACCTTATGAAAGAACTGCTGGGGAGGCCTCTTCTATCTCAGAGACTCCGACTTTAAGGGCAGAGTTCTAGGGACTACATAGCTACCTGAGGATGGAGCTTCTAGGTCAGCATGCTGCAGGATCTCCCTAGAGCCCAGAGCAGGGCCCAGGGGAGAGGCAGAGGCGATAATTCCATAGAGAAGTAAGATGGAAGAG